TGAATCAGCTTTTTATCTTTAATACACTCCCTAAACTTTTTGAATCACTATTTTTTAATTCACCTAATTTTTTTGACATCACTCCTAACTTTTTTTAATTTCTCTTGAATCTCTTACAAGTCGTCCTCTCCTCACTTGATACTTGATACTTGATACTTGAAACTAACTTCGATACTTGAACTACTTGTACTTGATACTTGATACTTGATACTTGAAATACTTGATACTTGATACTTGATACACTTGATACTTGATACTCTCTGATACTTGATACTTGATACTTGATACTTGATACTTGAATAACTTGATACTTGATACTGATACTTGACTACATTGATACTTGAAATACTTGATAAACTTGATCACTTTGAATACTTGATAACTTGATACTTGAATACTTGATACTTGATAACTTGATACTTGATACTTGAGCACTAGGATTATACGAGATACAAGAGATTGCAGCTTTTGTTGCGATTTATTTTCAGCTCTGTGATACGCTTATGAATAACCTTGATAACTAATGAGGACAGAGCACTGCCCACTATTGGAGTGACTCAGTTTAGCCATACCTCTAGATGGACATCTGATAATTCGACTGTTATATATGACCGTATAGAATAACTTGAAAAGTGGAGTGATATATTATATACGTCTAGCTAACTTCTAGTATATATCTTATAGAATTATATATCATACTTTGGGACGTACACTACACACTGTGAGTTTGATACTTCAGAGCCGGGGGAACGTGTAAATCCATTATATAGATACACCGACCTATGATACGTATACATATGAATCTATGAGCTCTGATGAATGATCGAGCATACTTTGAACATGTGAGAGTTATCGCTTGAATACTTGCACAGCGCTCTATACTTAGATATTATATCATCCGCGCAGGAGAGAGTTAGAGGCAGACAGTCACTCCATCGGGGAGTGAGGTGTGAGTGCGTGTGAGTGAGTGTGCCCACACTGCTATAGAGTACGTCACGAGGAATCTTATATGTCTCTAGAGACATCTATTCGTATATATTGGCTGAGAGTAGCAGAATCACGAGGAGTATGTGCAGCGAAGAGGATGTGTGTTGGAGTGACATGGACGTATACCTCTCACTGACGCGAGTAATCAATCAGAGACCGAACTCGGTGTTATATATCACACATCTACTGGTATACTTGATCTTTGATACTTGATACTAATGATACTTTGATACTTGATACTTGATACTTGATACTTGAAAATAACTTTGATACTTGATACTCTGAATCCTATCGATACCTTGATAACTTGAATACCTGATACTTGATACTTGAATACTTGATACTTGATACGTTGATACTCTGAAATACCTTGATAACTTAGAATACTTGATACTTGATACTATGATACTTGAATACTTGATACTTGATACTTGATACTTGACATACCTTGATACTTGAAATACTGATTACTTGATCAACTTGAAAATACTTGAATCACTTTGATACTTTGAAATACTTGATACTTGATACTTGATACTTGATACTTATGATACTTGAGATACTTTGATACTTGATACTTGATACTTGATCTTGATACTTGATACTTGACAAACTTGATTACTTGATACTTCGCGAATACTTGATACTTGATACTATGATCACCTGTAAATGAATCTTGGAATACTTACTGATAACTTGATACTTGATAAGCTTGCAATACTATTCGATAAACTCATGAATTACTGTATACATTGAACCTTGATGACGTATGATACTTGATACTTGATAAAACCTTGATAACTTGAATACTGAATATCTGATACTTGATACTTGTACTTGATAACTTGAATACTATGATACCTTGATAACCTTGAATAACCTGAATACTTGATAGCAACTTGATATTCGATCTTGATACTCTGATAACTATGATACTTGAGATACTTGATACTTGGATAACTTTTGAACTACTTTACGATACTTTGATACTTGATACTCTGATACTTGATACTACTTGATACTTGATACTATGATACCTTGATACTAAATCACCAGGATACTATTGATACTTGATACGTTGATAACTTCATGATACTTGATACTATGAATACTTGACTACTTGATAACTTGGATACTTGAAATAACTTGAATACTTGATACTTGAATTGATACTGATACTTGATAACTTGAAACTTGGATACTCTGATACTTGATACTTGAATACTTGATAAACTTTGAATACTATGATAACTATGATTACTTTGAATAACTTGATACTGATACTTCGATACTTGATACTTGATACTTGATACTTGAGATACTTGAATACTGATACTTGATTACCTTTGATACTATGATAATTGATACTTGATACTTGAATAACCTTGATACTTAGATACCTTGATCACTCTGATACTTGATACTATGATACTTGATACTTGATACTATGATACTTATGACTACTTGATACTTTGATACTTGAATCACTTGATACTTCGATACTCTTGATACGTTGAATACTTGAAATACCTTGATACTATGTTACTTGACTGAATTTGATTACCTTATTACTTGAATAGCCTTGATAACTTGATACTTGAAAACTCTGATAAAAAAGTTAGGAGTGATTCAAAAAAGTGATTCAAAAAAGTTTTTTGGAATCAAAATAGTGTTTCAAAAAAGTTTTTTGGATTCAAAAAAGTGATTCAAAAAAGTTTTTTGAATTCAAAAAGGTGATTCAAAAAAGTTTTTTGATTCAAAAAGAAATGTTTCAAAAAAAACAAAAAAAAAATTTTTGACTTTTTTATTGTATTTTTCAATAGTTACATTTGGGTAATTTTTAATAAAGTTTTTATTAAAAAAATTTCGTTTGCTTTCACAGTTTTCATTGTTTTTTTGCTGGGGGAGACTATGTCGTGTGATGAACTAGTGCCAGCTGCCAGCAAAGTGCAGTTAGGGCAGTACAATATAATTCTAGAGATGAACAAATGAAATAAGGTTCTTTTTTTGTATTACAAAGATCTTTGATAACTTAAAAAATAAATAACTTGCTACGTATATTTTGTTCTCAATTGAAGCTACTAGTAGTGATTGACTACTAGTAGCTACCTTAGACCTCGATGACGGATGGACCGGAATGATGATGATGATGACAGCGCCGAATTCGAAGTGGTGATCCCTCATCCCTACAACAATAAGATCATCCGGAAACATATAAACAGGATTTCATTGTCTTACCCAAGAATGTTGGTCTTTTTTGAGAATTACAGAGTTGACTAGTTCCTTCGGTCTTCGCATCGGAAAAGTGTCGTCGTTAGCTAGCGATGGAGGTAGGTACTGCTTGAGACCGGCTAAAAAGTGAAGTCTGATTAAAAAAGATCTTTTGATAGGTAAGTATGTATCCCATAAGAGCTGAGAAATTTGGCCTGTAGAGTCCATAATTTCAAACAGTTTGAAGATTGGGATACTAGATCAAAAGTTACAGCCCTTTGAACTTTCTTTCGAAATTGGTTTCTAGTCCATAACTTTTGATTGAGAAGTCTAATCGAGAAAAGTACGAATTGTTTTGGATTCTACGCACCAAAATTAATAAGAAAAAGTCTTTTCCCGAGAAATTTTGGTGCAGTCGATTTTTGGCAAAAAAGGAAGTGTATACACTGCCTTTTTTTGAGGCCCGAAGAAAAAATTGTCTCAGATCGACCCGGAAAAAAAATTTTCTTATAGAATGTGGCCTGTAGAATCCATAATTTCAAACAGTTCCAAGATTGGGCTACCCCTGAAAATAGGGTATCACTTTTCAAACTTCTTTGGATCTCTTATACTATATATAGATACGGTACTAAACTGTACAATGTGTAATTGCCAAATGCCTGAAAACCTGACACACTTCTTGAGTGCCCAATATTCAAACCTATCCCGCGTAAATGTTTCAGTAACACATATTTTAGAAGAATTACTAATTGCGTATAATGGAACTTACAAAGGGTTGACAATTTTCTCCAGGATCATGGTGTGGTTCGATGTACAAAGTTCTTCTTGTAATTTTGTGCGTCTTTTCGTGTTGTAGTACGTGAGGGCCAACCTTTTCGTACTTTTACTTGTCAGCTAGCTCAGGTAAAACTGGGTTGCAAATAGGACAGAATTCAATCGATTCCTTTTCAGTGATAATAACCAAAATTTGGAAAGATACTAACAAAAAATGCTATACTCAATATGTTTGGAAAATGTATGCAACTTGTTACCAAACAGGTCCTTAGAACCGAATTATATATTTACTACGTTGAAAGAATGAGATAAAAGAACAAAAAAAATATTCCTGCAAATCAATAATTAAAGCTGTATGAATAAATCGTATATACCGGGTGAATACTTTCAAACCGAACACAGGGAATTAACATGGGAAAACAGTTTTTGACAGCTTGTTGCTCCCCAACTTAACTTAGAGGGTTCATAATGGCACCACTGGAAAGAAGATTTATTTTCTCATCTAACTAAATGCAAATTATTTTTTTATTTTTTTTTATATATAGTTTTATTTGTATTTTCTCATTATTTTATCAAAAATTCGCAAAATAAAATGAACTCAGAAAATCATGTAGCCAAGTATAAGTAAAATCTCGTCCCGTATTAGAAATTCGTAAGTTTTATGAAAATTGGCTCCTACCTACGTTGCAGTATTCGATTGAAGGGGTTGTAAATTTTGTGGTAAATCAAATATTTATATTTCCTTAATGAATTAAATTAAAAAGAACTACAAGCAACCCCTCAGTTGCCAAGTATAAGTAAAGTCTCGTCCCGTATTAGAAATTCGTAAGTTTTATGAAAATTGGCTCCTAACTACGTTGCAGTATTC